TCTGTGTCTCTCTCTCTCGTGTTGCCATGACTTCTTCTTTAGAGACAGAAAAGATGTTTCAATAACTTTGGATTTGTTGTGATTTAATAACCAGGAGACAGAGTACTTTGTCTGGAGGGATCACAGAATCAGAGTAAACTCCGTCCATGTCGGCCGTGACTCAGTATCTGTGATAACGGCGTCCTCAGGTGAACTGTTCGCCTCAGGTTTAGCTTCATGTCGATTCATCTGCAGTACCAGAGGAGTACACACTGCAGTACCAGAGGAGTACACACTGCAGTACCAGAGGAGTACACACTGCAGTACCAGAGGAGTACACACTGCAGTACCAGAGGAGTACACACTGCAGTACCAGAGGAGTACACACTGCAGTACCAGAGGAGTACACACTGCAGTACCAGAGGAGTACACACTGCAGTACCAGAGGAGTACACACTGCAGTACCAGAGGAGTACACACTGCAGTACCAGAGGAGTACACACTGCAGTACCAGAGGAGTACACACTGCAGTACCAGAGGAGTACACACTGCAGTACCAGAGGAGTACACACTGCAGTACCAGAGGAGTACACACTGCAGTACCAGAGGAGTACACACTGCAGTACCAGAGGAGTACACACTGCAGTACCAGAGGAGTACACACTGCAGTACCAGAGGAGTACACACTGCAGTACCAGAGGAGTACACACTGCAGTACCAGAGGAGTACACACTGCAGTACCAGAGGAGTACACACTGCAGTACCAGAGGAGTACACACTGCAGTACCTTTGTTTTTAACCTTTTGCAGGTTACAGGTTATGCTGCGATCTTGACCGTCCTTGACCTCTGACCTTCCCTCCTCCGGTGTTGTTCTCTCTCCGTCAGTTACCTGAACGACCTGGAGAGGATCGCCAAGGCCGATTATATCCCCACTCAGCAGGACGTTCTGAGAACTCGGGTCAAGACCACCGGCATCGTGGAGACGCATTTCACCTTCAAGGAACTGCACTTCAAGTAAGTCCTGAAACGGAACCACGAACCAGTGGTTTAGAAACTTCTTCAACTCAAATCTCCCAAACCTCCAGTCTGACCGACATTAGAACTCAGCTGTAACACAGAGGTAACACCGCTGTAACACTGCAGTAACACAGAGGTAACACCGCAGTAACACAGCTGTAACACAGAGGTAACACAGCTGTAACAGCAGTAACACAGCAGTAACACAGAGGTAACACAACTGTAACAGCAGTAACAGCAGCTGAGTACGTTATATGAAGATAAATGATTCCCAAAATAATATTAAAACATTAATCAGGGACAGTGAAGTGTTGAGGTAATTAGGTAAGTAATGAACCCCCCCAAACCCCCCACCACCACCACACACCGTGAGCCTTTTACCAAGACATTACACTTCCCCTGTGAAACAGCTAGGGGGAGCCCAAGTACCACTTTTGGTACGCATACCCTAGTTTGAGAACCACTGCCAAGAGAAAATACACTCTGATTTCATAAACTGTTTCTTGGTCCATTAGTGACCGACCCGGTCCATTAGTGACCGACCCGGTCCACAGAGCTGTGACTCACTGTGGACTGAGTGGACTCACGAGAGGGTGGTTGTTGGTTCCACGCCTGTCATTACTCACTGGTGATTAAATATATAAAAATGAAGTGTTTGTTAAATTGTCCTGATAATGAAGCAGGCGGATCAGTGAGTTAAATATATAAAAATGAAGTGTTTGTTAAATAGTGGAGATTATTGGATCAGTGAACCTGGTATACTGGTACTGGTACTGGTACTGGTACTGGTGCTGGTGCTGGTACTGGTACTGGTGCTGGTACTGGTCCTGGTACTGGTACTGGTGCTGGTACTGGTGCTGGTACTGGTACCAGTGAAACAGATGTGATGTTAATCTACTCCGTCACATGAATTACCCCTGACGCTGCCTAAAAGCCCCTCGTTAATCAGAACATTAATTACCCAACAGGCCGTTGACTCCACTCTGAACTCTTCAGCCAAAACGACTGCAGTAAAAATGAAAAGTACGATTATCACGAGCTGAATAAACAGAAAAGAGCCGACCTCTGACCTCGACTCAGTAAAAACCAGAGCGTCATTTGTGAACGTGTGATTGGCTGCGACAGGAGGAGAGTTATTTTAGAAACATCTGTTAGTAGATTTAATGGACTAACATCAGGACCAGAGGTGAATTTCACCACCTCTGCCTGTTCTGCTGCTCTGCGTCAACTCTGTTCTGACCGTCTTCTACTGCTCCCCCACCCCCCACACACACACACACACACACACACTCTGAGTGTAAATGTCGTCCTGTTGCAGGATGTTCGACGTGGGCGGCCAACGCTCAGAGAGGAAGAAGTGGATCCACTGTTTTGAGGGAGTCACAGCCATTATCTTCTGCGTCGCCCTGAGTGCCTACGACCTGGTGTTGGCTGAGGACGAGGAGATGGTGAGGACAACCGTCCTCATCCTCCTGCATGTCTCTGTACCATCCCCCGTGCCCC